CTAAACAGCAACTTCAATGTTGAAAGATTTTATTTGTTTTTGTTAAAAACACCTAATCTAGGCAAAAATAATGGGGGTTTAGTTACATTATATGATCATACATTGCATAAGCCTGCCACAACGTCAATGTACCCCAAAGAGGTTAGCTAGACTCCCAAATATATATATAAAACAAAGAGGGGTTGGCTGCACTCACCTTAACATGCATAAATGGGGGTGCTGCTGGGGGCCAAATAATACAATACACAAGATCCAGCGCACTCACCTATCCACTAAACAGCAACTTCAATGTTGAAAGATGTTATTTGTTTTTGCACCCCTCCCTGTCACAGGTGCCTCATCCCAGGGCCCTATTTAGCCTTGTACTGCAGAGAGCCCCAGATGGAATTTCTTTCCCCAAGTAGGTTAATCTCATAAGAGCAGACATTAGGCTGTTAGTGTAGGACCTGCCACAGATGGGGTACATTGACGTTGTGGCAGGCTTATGCAATGTATGATCATATAATGTAACTAAACCCCCATTATTTTTGCCTAGATTAGGTGTTTTTAACAAAAACAAATAAAATCTTTCAACATTGAAGTTGCTATTTAGTGGATAGGTGAGTGCGCTGGATCTTGTGTATTGTATTATATCGCCCCCAGCAGCACCCCCATTTATGCATGTTAAGGTGAGTGCAGCCAACCCCCTCTTGTTTTAATCCTTTATCCTGACTAATAGTGCAGTCTACTTACCTGAAGGTTAGAATAAAATTCACTGCAAAAAAAGCCCACTGCAGATTGGAAAAGTAGAACAGGATGTAACAACAATTATGAGGTAAAATACTAGGAACATCAATGCCTGTCTCAATTCCACAATCTTTTACTAATAACCCTTCTGCTACCAGTATTTCCAGAGGACTAAGGAAAACAAAAATAAATAACTCTGATTAATTAAGTAATACAAAACACACTTAAAGGACATCAAGGGTGCGGGGAGAGAGCACCTGTAGAATTGTTCTCAGATCCAGTCATATATAGAATGAACAGAAAAACTAAATATAGTGTAGTATATTAAAAATCTTGGTGGAGTATAGATAACAGAAATGCACTTACAATTTTCTGGAGCTTATGTTCAGCTCCAGATTGATACGCGTGGATGGAACAATCCCCGTCTGTGGATATAATAGTAGATCCAGGTGCTTCTTGATGAGTGTTGTTCTCAGGCTGTGAATTGTTGTACCACTGGTCGGCAGTCAGATGTCCTCAGTATACAGGGGAATATAAAAACAGACTATAGTGCTCTCTGTATGTAATGAGCTGAATAAAAAAAGAGAGGATAAAATATACTCACAAACAGAGAGCAAATACATGCTTTGCTCAATCCTATAAGGCTTGGGTGGTATAATCCCCACCGAGGATGTTCCTGTGAGAATCTTCAGGATAAAGTTCAAGGATAAAAAATATATTTTCATAGATAGGTCTAGAGTCTCCAAAGCAGTATAAAACAATAAGCTTTATTTGGAGATTATAAAAGGTATACAATTGCAAATAACACTAACGCATTTCATCTTTGACAGTCTTTTTCAAAGTGTTTACAGTTTATGAGACCTATCTTGTTTAAATAGCTTAAAAACAGGTGGTGTGGTTGGTCAAGTGACCAGGAGTTAATTTGTTAAAACATTGTATACAGCGAAATATAAACCAATATAAACAACAAAGTAAATAAATGTTGTTACATATAAATATAGATAACATTCTAATAAAAAATTAATTTTAAAAAACAGAGGTAGTTTTTATTTTGTAAGGTGGCTTTAAGAAAGGGGACCAAGATGGGCGGCGCAATCTTCATAATGGGAGTATAAAGATGGCCACCACCAGTTTAATTGAAAAAAATGGCTTCAAAAGATAAAATAACGGTAAGAACTTCAGAGGGGAAAGTGGGAAGGTAGATGTGATGTATCTCCTCTTGAAACGAGCATCATAGCCTAAAAAAAAAACACCTTTCACTAGGAATACCAATATGGCGTCAACGTGATCGGCTTGGGCCGTGACGTCATTGGTTGGATAGTGGAGGCTTATGGGGGATGTAGTAGAGGTAGAGTGAAATCCAGAGTCCCGCACACGTGACCCGCCCACGTGATCGGCATGGGCTGTGGAGGAGACCTGGAGGGGAGGAGATAGCGGACTGGAAAGCAGTAAATGTACTTCCTAATGGCAAAGGCTTATGGGGAATGTAGCAAAAAAAACGGACAGAACTAAATACAGATTAAATAAGGATAAAACTTAAAGGCAAATATATTGAAATAGAGAATAATAAAAGGCAAAGGAAATACAGTTTAAAAAGGCAAAGGAAATACAGTTTAAAAAGGCAAATAGTATTTAGATGTGATAGTGCCATAAAGAGCAAAATAAAATAAAATATAAAAGACAAATAGTAATATATAATCCTCAAAAATACAGACTAAAACCAGAGGGTTAAAAACAATAGGGGAAATGGATAGGTGGAGGTATGCGTAAGACAATTTTTTTTACTTATTTATTTGATTTGCGTATGTTTTTTTGTTTTTTGTACACAATAGATTCTTTTGGAGAAAAAGTGGAGATTTTACATTGATTTTGTTTTTTAGTTCGCAGCCATATAATATTATTTACCGGTATGATCTGGATTCCTTGAGCCTTGCTAGTTCAAAATATGTGACTCATTTTGCAATGACTCATCTTTTGTGGTGGGCAGCACACCTGAAATATGTGTTATTCATACATTGACACATTGGGAAGGCAATGATGCTATTATTTACTGTTTAGCTGCTATTGGCCTACCTTCCAATGGTTCATTATTATTGCCTGAACACTCACTTCAATGGTTCACTAAAGGTACAGAAAGTTCTAACTGGACACTTGTGTCATTCTAATGCTAATTGTTATATCTGGTATCTGTTTCAGTAAACAATTACTACTGAAACATGTGGGGTTCATAAGGATGTATGTAGTTTTCATTGTCATTTTATTGTTACTAATCCTTTCTATTACTTGGGGATAGATGAGGTTTACTTATATGAGCCTGATCAGATTCTATTTAAAACACAGGATGCATATATTTTTAGTACTGGTACATTTGCCTACTACATGGTGTAATTCCATTACTGTATCACATATAGCTTCTTCTACATGGAACATAATCATGGCACAGATATCTAATATAACTTTGGATTTATCATGGGAACGTACTATTGATTATTCCATCTCAGACTTACCTTTGAGTATGGGCTCTGAGATGAAGAAATGCCTAAGAGATACTGTAGGCATCAAAACCACTTCAGCTTAATGTAGCAGTTTTAGTCATTAATAATGCCCCTGGGGGGGCGCAGCTTGCTACTTGTGCTGACCAGATGTTATTTTCATCAGCTCAACAGTACAAATTTCAGTCTTGAAAATATCTATTGCCCAGAGTCCCATCCAGCTCCAAAAACCACCCAGTCGGATTCTGTAAAACAAACTACATTGATAAATGCCTTTCTTCTCACCTCAAAACCCACCGCAACGGAAGCGAAGGTCAGGGACCTGCCTCATGCCGACGCTGCGAGGCCTAGAGGGACTCTTGAGTGGCACTGTAACCGCTTTTGCAGAGATCACAGCCACACCAAACTACCTACCTGCCTGTATACCGGTCATGGGTCGGTGATCTCAAAAACCACATCCCGCGACTGACAGCAGGGATATTGGGTCCATACTCCAGCCACCAGTGCAGCCCAGGATGGCTCCCTTGAGGGATCTGCAAGTAGAGGGCTGGTAGCTCGCTCTTGGGAGAGGTGAACCAATGACTGAGCAGCACCCTCCGACCGCACACACTGTACCTCCCAAATCTCTGGATGATTCACCCCGACCACCAAACATGACCTGAAGCTCCTACTAGCTGACATTCACAAACTGCTGGTGGCTGGCTCCCCAATTTTTAAAACTCAGGTGCGGGTGGTCACAGAACTGGTGAGGGCTAATGAAAATGAATTAGTGTATGTGCAGGCTCATTTGGCTAGCAACAACAACTCTATGCAGCAGATCCAAAATCATCACCAATACCTATCTCTTAAACTAATGGCTCTAGAGAACCGGCAAAGACATACTAATATTAAAATTCGGGGTATCCCCGCTACAACCACTGCAGATGAACTGCCACACTACTCTGTGGAGGCTGCTTACCACCATACTATGCCACGCAGTGGCAAATAAGATAATCATCGACGAAGTCTATCGCCTCCCTGGCCCTACTCACCTCAAGCCCAATGTGGTTCGGGACGTGATACTTAGATGCGTCACCTTTCCAGACAAAATCCTAATTATGTCAGCATTAAAGGGCAAAGCACTTCTGCTCTTCGAAAACTCCCAATTCTTGTTCTATCGGGATATTACTAGGGCCACTCTTCCTCACCGCAACGTTTGGCCAAGTTACTGCCCACCTGCGCACCACGGTCACATCTTACCGATGGGGGAAAAATTGCTCTCTGTGGCGAAACCGGCCTCGCCACGTGTCCTTGGAGGGGGCTGCTTGCCCGCCTCTTGCCTTTGGACTATGGACCAGACTTTATGTGAATGTGTTATACCCCAGATAGGAATCCCATGGAGCCCATTCGTATGAAACTGACTGTAAAGACTTTGGCTCCATGGCGATTAAACTGTATTTGTGTGGTCCGAGCGCCATTCACTTAATAATGTGCGCTCAGACCTGAGCTATCTGGGGATATGTGAAATGTCTGTGTGTTATGTGTAAAATGTGACTTTATGTATTTTAAAGTGTTTTGTGTCTTTTTGCAACCATGTGCTTAATGGAGTCTTGTGTCTGTCCTGGGAGATAATTGAATTACTTATCTCCAGGATAGAAGACTCTGAAACTGGTTTGGGCCAGAAAGCCATGCTTCATTTAGTCACAAAGGACTTTTTACTAACTTTTGAACCCCTTGTCTGATTTGTGCCATTTTTGAATATGTTGTTCCCCTGAATGGATTGATTGTGAATATGTAATTTTATGTGAATGTGATGTATGGTTTTGGAGTTATGAAAGTTGGGTAGAAAGTATGTTTTAACTGTATGTATAATTGAGTTTCCTCTCAGGATAAGGGGAGGGAATATGTGGGATGTAACTGTGATGTGATTGGTTGTTTTGTAACGCCCTGTGGGCTGTACTATGTTTGTGGATTGGGAATAAAAGAGACTGTATGTGACAGTACAGGGAATTCCTGTTTTAACCCTCAAAGTGAAGTGTCGTCTCATTATTGGGGGAAGGATTTATTGTATGCTGTTCCAGTTTGACTGCTAGGAGAGTAAACCTATTCGTATGGTTCCTATTCAACTGTCTACAGCATTCATATGCTTGAGAGAATTCATACGCTTCTCCGGTTCGGTGATTGTGGTGTCTGCTGCAGTGCTTGGAGTCCTCAGGAAGCGCTAGGAGCATCCTTCAACGGAGGTACCCAGTCGGGGTGCCAGGCGATCCGTTACATTGGTGGCAAGCGGTGGGATGGCGTCCTAGTGCGAGGTAAAGCAGCTCAGAGACACAGTCGTTTGGATTTACAAATTGAAGGCGACGCTAGTGTTTATACAGCGTCCCTGTCTACATAAAGATTTGGGAAAATGGGGTTCGTGGATCCTTGGGCACCTCGCACACCTGAGGAAGAGGGTGAATTGACTGGAGAGATATTGCCCGGCAAGAACTATGGTACAATGCCCTGGAGGAAGTCCAGTATCAACGGCAGCAGCGCCTTCCTGGTGTCGCATACCGGTTGGAGGAACAAATGGCCTGGCGGATGCCGCTTCTGGGAGACCAACCCGGAGGGCAGCAGGTCAGACAACTTGAGTACCTCGTGGAAAGGGAACTGAGCCTTGACGCCTCATACCGGGCACTGTGGTGGTGCACTGTCCAGCCAGAGACATGGAGGGCAGAGGGCATCCAGCCGGAGGGGGAGAACTACACTAGCCCTGGCCTGTTGTGGAAGGCTGTGAGGAACTGATTCTGCTGGGTTTCGAACCCTCATTTACATGGTGCTAAACCTCTTCCTTACCAGTACACCAGCCTGCCTTTTGCAAATTTACCTGAGATCTGATACCATTGCTTGTAGAGTCAAGGTTATCAGTGACAACTCACTTCAGCTGTGTCTAGTCAGGTGTCTGGTTCTTGGCCTATAAAAGCCACTTCCTGTCTCTGTACCTTTGCCAGATTATTGTGGTTCCTGTACTCTCTAATCCAGCGTGTTCCTGTTTCTCCTTCCTGTTGCTGAATTTGGACTGTTTTGACTTTGCTGCTTCTCCTTCCCACTGACCTCGGCTTGCCTGACTACGATTATCATCTTTCTGTTCCAGTCTCCCATCTCTGCTTAAGACCAGAAGGCCACTCAAGGCTCAGGGGCTCAACCACCTGGGTAACGAGTGGCTACCTCTGGCAGAAAACATTGCTGATCTGGCTACTGGACTCCAAAACTTTGTAACATCAATATCATTACAGAATAATCTGGCCCATTCATGGAGACCGTCGGATCAGATTCTGCATTGGCCCAGCAGGTTGCTTTTAATGCAAGAACTATGCAGACCCAGGCACAGACCATTCAAGTGCTGCAGGATCAGGTAGCTGAACTGCAAAATGAAGTTCGATCAATGCATAGTGAGCTTACCAGCTACAGGGCACATGATGTTGCGGCTGCTGCTACTACTACTGTTACACCTGCACAAGATGCCCGCTTGCCTCTACCAGAAAAATTTGGAGGAGACCGCAAAAAATTCAGGGGTTTCCTAAATCAATGCCGTTTGCATTTCATGATGTTACCTAACCGTTTTCCATCTGAAAGAGAGAAGGTGGGATTTATTTTTTCCCTCTTCAAAGATGAAGCCCTGGCCTGGGGCTCCCCTTTTCTGGAACAGGACAGTCCAATCTTGGGAAATTAAAAGACTTTCTTGAGGCCATGTGCCTAGTTTTTGATGATCCCAATCGCTGTGCTACAGCAGAAGCCACTCTCCTTCATTTACATCAAGGGAGGCGATCTGTGGCTGAATATGCTGCTGAATTCAGACAGTGGGTTACTGATACTACTTGGAACCAATCAGCCCAGAGGTTCCACTTCAGAAGGGGTCTCTCAGAAGCTATAAAAGATGAGCTAGCTCGTGTTGATCTTCCTGTTGAGTTTGATGCATTTGTGCGGTTGGCTATCCGTATTGATCGGAGACTTTCAGAAAGAAGATTGGAAAGACAGGGCTCTTTTAAACCAAGTGCTACTCCTACTTTCTATTCAAGAATTTCTACTCCGACCCCACAAACACCTACAGACTCTGAACCTGAGGCTATGCAGGTAGATCTAATAAGAGGGCCATTATCCAATGAAGAAAAACAGTGGCGACGCACTCACAACTTATGCCTGTATTGTGGTAGTGCAGGGCATTATGCCATCAAGTGCCCTAACAAGTCTAAAAGAACAATAGCTATGACTGCTGAGGGTGCACAGATTCAACACCAATCCCAGATTTCAGACCAACTGGATTCTGTCACACAACCCTTGTTTTCTCTGGCTCAGGGTGAAGAAGGTATGATGACTCAACATCCTCATTTGGTGGTGCCTATCACTTTGCAATATGGTAATAATAAAATTTCAACTACAGCTATGATAGATTCCGGAGCAGGCGGAAACTTTATGGACATTAAATTTGCAGCAGGAAATAAAATTCAGTCTATCCCTAAATCTTCACCTGTGTTAATGGAAACAGTAGACGGTTCTCCACTTACGTCAGGCCCGGTTACACATGAGACTGTGCCCTTAAAATTGATTCTGGAAGTGAATCACCATGAGTCTATATCTTTCCACCTAATTTCCTCAACACAGTTTCCAGTGATTTTGGGTATACCCTGGCTTGCTCTGCATAACCCACAGATTGATTGGAAGACTAGAACTTTGTCCTTTCCTTCAGAACACTGCTTAATGAATTGTCAACCCTCTAAGGCGACACCTGTTACCACAACAATTAATGAAATGGTTGCTACAAACTTAACTAAGCTTCCGCTACAATATCGGATTTTGCAGATGTCTGTGATAAGAAGAATGCTGATCAGCTTCCACCTCACAGGCCTTATGATTGCCCCATAGAGCTGCTACCTGGAGCTGCTATCCCATTTGGCCGTATATACTCCCTTTCTGAGCCTGAATTGAAAGCACTTCGTGAATACATACAAGAAAATCTTGCCAAAGGCTTTATTCGACCATCCACTTCTCCAGCAGGAGCTCCTATATTCTTTGTAGAAAAGAAAGATGGCAGTCTACGGCCATGTGTCGATTACAGGGACATTAATAAAATCACTGTTAAAAACCGTTATCCCTTGCCTCTCATTCCTGAACTTCTGGAGAGACTTCGTTCAGCTAAAATATTTACGAAGCTTGATCTACGGGGGGCATATAATCTGGTTCGCATAAGACCAAATGATGAATGGAAAACAGCTTTCAGAACCAGGTACGGACATTACGAATATCTAGTAATGCCATTTGGGCTTTGTAATGCCCCTGCAACTTTTCAGCATCTAATCAATGATGTACTACGGGATCTCCTGGATCAGTTTGTTGTGGCATATTTGGATGATATCCTGATATTTTCTGATAATCTTGAAAATCACAGAAAACAGGTCTGCATTGTTCTTGAGCGCCTTCGTACCCACCACCTATACATTAAACTGGAAAAATGAGTTTGAACAAACAGAAATTCAGTTCCTGGGGTATGTAATAACTCCTAAAGGTTTAAGTATGGACGCAAGTAAAATTAAAGCTGTGCTGGACTGGCCCATCCCCAAGAATGAAAAAGATATACAGAGATTTGTGGGGTTTGCCAATTTTTACAGGCGTTTCATTAAGAATTTCTCTGCCGTTATTACACCGATCACTGAACTTACACGTAAAGGGACTCCTTTTCAGTGGTCCAATAAGGCTGACACTGCATTTTCCAGATTAAAGACTCTGTTTACATCTGCCCCTATCTTGGTACATCCTCAGCCAGAATTGCCATTTACTGTAGAGGTAGATGCTTCTGATTCAGCTGTTGGGGCTATACTATCTCAAAGGACTGGACCTAAGATGTTGTTACATCCATGTGCCTTCTATTCCCGCCAGATGTTACCAGCAGAAAGAAATTATGACATAGGGAATAAAGAACTTTTGGCTATAAAAGCTGCCTTCACCGAATGGAGACATCTCTTGGAGGGAGCCACCCATCCACTTACTGTCCTCACAGATCACAAAAATCTGGAATGTATCCAATCCGCTAAGAGACTGTCAGCCAGACAAGCACGCTGGTCCCTATTTTTCTCAAGGTTTAATTTTTTTATTTCATACCGCCCTGGTTCCAGAAATGGCAAGGCGGATGCCTTGTCTAGGATAGCTGACCCCCTCCATACTACAGTAACCAAGGCCACCATCTTGCCGGAGAGCAGATTTTTAGGAGTTACCTTTCCTTCTGATCTAATGTCTCGCATTAAAAAGGGCTACTCTAAAGATCCAGTTTTTCGTGATCCTCCTCGTGATCTTCATATGACCATGCTTAATGGGTTTTGGATTTTTCAACAACGCCTGTTTGTTCCAGAATCAGTGCGACTGGACGTTTTACGCCTCTACCATGACTCTAAACCAGCAGGTCATCCAGGAATCCGAAAGACACAAGAACTACTTACCCGATCCTTTTGGTGGCCTAAATATTATGAGGATGTTAAGAAGTATGTGTCCTCTTGTGATGTATGTGCCAGACATAAGACTCCTCGCTCATCCCCTGTTGGCTTGCTTCAGCCTCTTCCGATTCCTCATCGTCCCTGGGGATCTATATCCATGGACTTTATTGTGGAACTACCTCCCTCTAAGGAACACACTACTATTCTTGTTGTTGTGGACCGGTTAACCAAGATGAGTCATTTCATACCAGCTCGTGGTCTCCCTTCAGCTAAACAGACTGCTGACCTTGTTATTCGGGAAATATTTCGCTTGCATGGAGTGCCTGATGAAGTAATTTCTGACAGGGGAGTGCAGTTTACATCTCATTTTTGGAAATATTTTTGTTCTATTCTAGGTATTAATGTAAATCTGTCTTCAGCTTTTCATCCACAAAGTAATGGACAGACTGAGCGAACCAACCAGACTTTAGAACAATATTTGCGGTGCTATATTAGTTACCTGCAGGATGACTGGCTGGATTTTCTACCCACGGCGGAGTTTGCCTATAACAATGCCCAACACTGCTCCACTTCTCTGAGCCCATTTTTTGCCAATTATGGTTACCATCCAACCTTTCTAGTGAGTCTCCCAATTACTACTCCCATTCCTGCAGTCACTGACCGGCTAACCGCCTTACGAGATTCCCAAGAACTG